TTGGAGGGCCCATAGAGTGGGCCCTCAGAGAGAAAAAAGGGCCATAGACTCAGGCCTGTCTGAGTTTCCCCTGGCTGGCCCATGCTGGGGCCAGGACCAGAAGGGTTGAAGAGCCAGGGGCTCACCACGAGGGACACCCAAGAGATGAGGGCCTGGGGTTCTGACTGGCCTGGAGGTGAGCCAGGGCTAGATGAGCCGAAGGTCTCAGTGGGGGGACCACACCCAAAGGGAAACCAGCTCAGGGAGCTATGCTGCCCGGTATGATGGCGGAAGAGGCTGCCTGAGGGGAGGAAACCAGGTGGGGTTCAATAGGAGGATTCTGGGGCCCAGTGTGGGGGCCGGCGATAGTGAGAACATCGAGATGCCATCTGTGAGGCTTGGGCTGTGGTATAGGGGAGGAGAGGAGCTGCATATAGTGCCCCCTGGCATCGGGGCAGTAAATGGACAGGCTCCCTCTTAATTAACATCTGTTAATTAATTATACCAACAAGGCATGGCAGGCGAGAAGGCAGGTGGTTAGCCCAGGAACAGGTGGGCGGGCCACGGTTGGATCAGCCCCAAGCAGGCCCCCTGTTACAGGCTGCTAACTCCTTGTTCTGAGTTTCTTGGTTCTTCCATTTGATTTAAGTTTCCCAGTCCCTGGGTCCTACTTGTTTGAGCCTGTTTTCCTGTTCCCTGGGTCCTGCGGGTTGGCTTCTTGGCTACATCTTGGTCTATGGTTCCAGCCTGGTGATTCCTTGTTCCAAACTGCCTTGCCTTGCCTCTTGTTCCCCATACTGGACCCATGGCACACAGCACCCACTTTAGGACCTGTCCTGCACGTGGTGCCCGCCCCTGCCAGTTCAGGATCTGGCTGCAGGTTGTATCTTTGACACCGCTGATCTAAGACTTAAAAATTTAGCTGTAATGTTCTTCTAATGATGTCTATTGACTTATGCTGCATGTGATTAGATTGTATATAGCCTTAAAGGGGTGAGTTTTTGGAGGGTGAATGTAAGCAAGTAAAGCCTACTTCAGTTTAGGCCAGAGGTGAGCAAAATACATCCTTCAGGCCAGATCCAGCCCATGGAGAAGCTTCGTCTGGCATGCAGCAGGTTCCTTGGTCCTGCCTGGCCCTGGCACTGCCCACTTGTAGTGCATCTTGCTTCCCTCTAGGCATGCAGTGGGGCTGGGGCACATCCATAGCTGGTTTGCCTTTCTAGGCAGCCTAGGCAGTAGCGGCTCCTTCTGACTGCCACTGCCACTGGCCCCAGCCTTGCAGTACTGGCAGGGCGGGGACCCATGCAAGAAGCCCTGACCCAGTGTGCCCCGCACCTGCTCTGGATTTGTCTATCCAGGCTCAGCAGCAGCAGCTGAACAGAAACTGTTGCTTGGAATGGGTGAAAAGCAGCCCCTCCACTTCACTGCTGCCAGGCGCTTCTTGGTGTAGTTGCCCAGAGCCCACACCAGGCCAGGCTGATTGTGGCTGCTCTGTATTGTCACCACTGCTGTGTTGGGCAGCCCAGAGGCAGCAGTGATGGCAGCAGAGCCACAGGGCAGGCCGGCACAGCACCAAGAACTGCCCAGTAGTGGCAAGGGGGAGGGGCTGCTATTCCTTCATGCCAGGCAACAGTAGCTGCCTGGCAGCCACCACCACTGCTGCTGCTGAGCCTGGACAGGCGAGTCCAGAGCAGGTGTGGGGTGCACCTGGTCGGGGCTGAACACATGGGTCCCAGTCAGTACCACAGAGCTGGAGCCAGTGGCAGTGGTAACTGGAAGGAGCCACCCCAGCCCCACTGCATGCCCGAGGGGCAGAAGGATGCAGCATGGCCAGGTAGTATGTAGCAAGTGCGGGGCGAGTTGGGGCTGTGTGCTGTTGGCAGTGGCAGGGAGGTACTGCAGGGACCATGGGATCCAGGCTGTTGTGGGGTGGGGGTCAGTGCTGATCGGCTCAGGGGAGCATTCACAGGTGGGCTCCCATGCACACCCCACCATACCCTCAAACTGTTCCCCACAAACCACACAACTACATCCTCCCTCACACACCCTACAAACACTGGACCCACCTGCATGCCTCTAGGGGGAGCCCCACTCACTGCTACATGCACACATCCTACCACACACATGCACCCACACATACACCCCCAGCCACCCTCTCCCTCCACACACCCCACAGCTCCCCACATCCCATACCCACCCACACATACACCCATGCATCTCCACACACACACACACACACACACACACACACACAGCCTCCCACAAACTCCACGCACAACCCCACACTCCTTCACACCCCCTGCAATATACAAGAGTAAGACTTCATTTTGAGCTATTATGCAATCACCTCTATATACACAATGCAAACACACACACATCAAGACAAAAATATATATATTTTTTAAATAAAATTTAAACCTATTATTGTGGATGTTTGAATTTTAGTATATAATTTGTTGTTTTTTTCTGGTTCCAAGATGGCAACCCCCCTTCCCAAAAGGAGTACTTCTCAGGGCAAAGGGAGGGACTTCCAGTGGCAAAGGTCAAGGGCTAGGGGACAAGACTTCTGGTCCCAAGATGGCAACCAGGGGCCAGGGTGCTTGTCAAGTGGTGGGGCCACCCTTGTGGCCCTCAACATCTCACCAAAATTTGTTAAGCTGAAATAACTGCCTGCCCCTGGTTTAGGCCTTTAGAATGCTATTAGACCACAACATCCCATAGTACTCAAACAGGCTCCGGGATATATCTCAGTCTCTTGGTCAGAACATTCCTACTTCTCCATTATTAAGGCTGGTTGTTTGGTATGACAAAAATGGCAAATTGCAAATAATTTGTACTGGGGATGTAGGACTGGGGGGAGATAATACCATTTCCTGTCAAACATGACACTCCTGAATTCAAGTTGAATCCATATTTTCTGACTCAAGTCAAAGAAAAAAAACATCAAATAAAGATGTCTTGTTCTTCTACATAATCAGGTTATCCACTCAACTGCATTGCCCTTGTTTTGAAACTATATCTGATCATCTCTCTTTCCTCCCATTTCATTGCCATTCTCCATTGCTTTAAGTTACTGCTTTAATTACATAGTTAAACACAAGCCATTTTTTATTGTTTAACTTATGCCTTTGTCTGCTTCTTTGTCAAACCTAAAGATGGCTACTTTACTCCCAAAACTTTGTCCAGTATCTCTCCCCACAAAAACCCAACCCTGCCTCTCTTCAAATAAAGGCACGTTGACACTGATGCAATCCCTGTGGTATATATAAAAGCTTTTGTTAATGCTAATTTAAGGAGCAGGTAATTACAGGAAATATTTGGTTTTAAGAAGAGTCATATTAGAAGAAGTGTGGTAACTGTCATTTAAAATGACAGAAACTATAATACAAATGCATTGTATAATACAAAGTTTTAAAAGGCATTAATATATAACCAATATAATCTATTGAAATATTCCTACTCCATTACATTGAACACGCATAGAACCAAATCCTTAAAAATTCATAGATTTTTGTCCAATGGCAGGCTGACCAATTTGAAAAACCATGGTCTTTGTTTTCTGAAAAGTCCCCAAAGTTCCATTTTTTTTATAACAGAAGTCATATCTGAGACAGCCTTACCTACTCTTGACAAGAACTTTTTATATTGGATTTCAGAGAAAGTTTCATAGTTTCATAGTTTCTAGGGTCGGAAGGGACCTGAGCAGATCATCTAGTCCGCCCCCCTGCCATGGCAGGAAGAGCACTGGGGTCAAATGACCCCAATAAGGTGGTCATCCAACCTCCTCTTAAAAACCCCCAGGGTGGGAGCCTGCACCACCTCACATGGAAG